TGGTTTCAAGTTCACAACTCTTGTCGCTGGTGATCTTTCGTTTTCCTTTCCCAGTGCCTCTGGTACTGGGATAACTTTTTCGACATATTCTTTTTCTGTGGCTCTTGCTCACGAAGTTATTCATGATCATACTTCTCCCGTCCGGGAGAAATATGATCGCCTCATCCGTGTCTGGCGCAAGCGGTTCTTTTTTTCTCTCGTTCACTTTTTTGACATTTCCACTTTCACTTTTCTTCTCCGGTGCCTCTGGTACCGGGATTGTCCGTTGGCTAATCTCGTTCTGCTGCACTCTCGTCATTCCCGGTGCCTCTGGTACTGGGATGACCTTTTCTCTTCCCTTTTGTGTCAGCATTGTCCGGTTGAGTGTATTTTCAATCTCCTGTTGAATCATTTGCAGCTGCTCAAATGGTGACAATTCTTTTTTCACCCCCATTTCATTTGCCTTTCCCGGTGCCTCTGGTACTGGGATTAGCGTTTTATTAACCGTTTGAGCATTTCCCGTCTGTTTTACAAGTTCGGTGACCTTTCCGACTTGAACTTTGGCGACTGGTTTGGGGTCATCTTCTTCTTCTTCTTCCCCTTCATTATCCATCAGTACGAATTTTTTCTCTAAGAAGTCAAATCCTAGTAACACTTGTACGTCATCGCACTTCGGTCGGACGTAGAAGGAATGTTCGCTAGTCTTCTTCCTTAAGGTCACCGGTGCTACACAGTAATGTGTCACCATGAATCCTGACGTCCCACTAATTCCATTTATTCTCACCAGCCTGTCTGGTGGTAATGGGAGCATATGAAGTCCATTCTTCTCGCAAAACGGTTTGCTGATCAGCGACGTCTCAGCGCCGGTGTCCAACATTGCGCTGACCTTTATGTCTCCCACTTTCACTTCATGTGTATACGCTTCAATTCTTTTGGGCAATTTTCCGTTTTGAATCTTCAATGTGTGTATCTTGCATTTCACAGGAATTAGAGATACTGGTCCCGGATCCATGTCGGGAAGCGCTGGTCCTTTCGCTGAAGTACTGTGACGTTTCAGTATTTCGCTCAGCTTATCAATCCTGTGTGGGACGTTAGTTCGAACGTCGTAGAATTTTTGCGGCTTTTTCTTGTCTGCTGGCTTCTCTGCAGCCACTTTACCACTGGTGACCTTTTCACCATTCTGCACTTGCGAGTTTGCTTTTGTGCTATCCACGTGACCTTTAGTCACTTCATTTATCGTCTCATGAATCAGTTCCTCTTGCGGTTTTCGTTTCGTTTATCTCGCAATTTTCAATGACTTCACTTGTTATCTGATCAGCTTGCTTCAATTCATCTTCTTCGCTATCTTTCATCTCATCTGGTGACCTTTCGTATGTAACCATATCATATCCCTTTTCGGTCATCCATTCAATCACTTTTGCAGATACTTCATTGTTCGTTTTCGTCGGGTCAGTCTGCGAAGACATTCCGTCCGTTCGGGCTGGTGACTTGTCATTGGCATCCTTTTGTAGTGCTTGTGAGAAGTCCCGTGACCTTTCGACTGCACTACTCTGTTGCATTTGCACCATCTCATTTGACCGTTCTTTTTGTTCATTTTGCGCTAAGTCTTGTGACCTTTCATTGCGCTTTATGACGAATCCGCCACCCGTCAACTTTTGTATGGGAACTTTTTCTCCATAATTCGACGGCTTATCTTCCGGTGGTGCGTTTCGCGGGTTATTCAGGTCAGCTTGTGCGTTCTTGTATTCAGTTGCGTTGAATACTGGAGCAAGGTTCGGTGACCTTTTAACTTCTTTCCCGGTAACCAATTCTTCCAGTCGTTTTCTCTCATGTTGCGTTCGCAATTCTCGCATGTCCCAGTAATCTTCTTGAGACATTCCCGCTTTCTGTTTCGCTTTTTGCGTCACAGGTATCCATATCCCGTGATTTCCATTCGGTCTGTAGGCTACTTTTTGCCATATTTCCTTCCGTTGCAGCGTTACTGCATCCACAAGTGAGTCGTCGGAGTTCTGCTGTGCCGGTTCGCTATTCTTCTGCTGCGCTGTTCGCAGTGTCAAGTCTGTTTCTTGACCTTTTAACACGGCGCTTTCACCGTGACCTTTAGCGTTCGCACTTGCTCCTTTACTTTTCACTTGGACTTTTCCTACGGAAGGTGACCTTTCATCTTTACTGGTAACAGTGATATTCTGTTCCATCCATTTTTGCCTTATCAGTTTATCTTCCTCGTTCTCGCAACAATTCCAGAGCTTTGGCTTTGGTTCTCCATAACAATCGCAGCGTGACTCATTCGCTTTGTCATTTTCTGCCAAGTGTTTTCGGAATTTCGCATGTTGTTCATTTTCCTCTTGCGCAGTGTCGTTCTGCGGTTTCTTCTGATTCAGCAACGCCTGTTTAATCTTTACATTCCGTTGTGCGCGTCGTTGCGCCAGCACTTCTTCGCTGCAGTGCGGTGACCTTTCATTTTGCTGCGCTGTTCGCAGTGTCGCGCTACCGTCACGACAATTTCCACTCGCAGTACCATTCTGCGGTGACCTTTGGTCCCGTTGCGCGTTTCCACTCGCAGTACCATTCTGCGGTGACCTTTTATCCACTTGTACTGGTTTCCCGATAACCAGTTCGTTTTGCTGCTGTGACGGCATCCTTATAGCCGTTTCAATTTCCTTTTGCAATGACGACAACCATCTAGCCGTTTCAGTTTGCTGTAGCGGCATCCATATAGCCGTTTGCTGTGGTTGGCGCATCCATATAGCCGGTCCACTTTCTTTTTGCGCTGACGGCATCCTTATAGCCGTCGCAGTGGTCACATTCACTGCAGTACCATTCTGCAGTGGTGACCTTTCCATTCCCTTTTTATCCGGTGGTTTCGGGTCGGGTCGATCAGTAGGCTCACCGACGCCTACTGATCTTGCCCGTTTCCCTGAACCGGCGCACCTCCTGTTGAGCGCCTTGCGCATTTCCTGACGTTGCCTTGCACATTTCCTTGTCCGCCGTTATTTACCGGGACATAATTTTGTCCGCCTCCATTATTCTGGCCACCACCATTATTTTGGCCACCACCCTGTTGGTAGTTTCCTTGGCCGCCTCCATTTCCGCCGTTTCGGTTGCCGCCATTCCAATTTCCGCGGCCAAAGCCTCTGTTTCTCCCTCTAAAGCCTCCGCGGCCGTAGCCACCACGGCCATAGCCGCCATTTTGGCCGCCGCCATTTCCATTATTCCCGTTTCCTTGTTGATTTGGGAAGTTTGCTTTGTGCTGATACCATTGGCCAATTAGGTCATATCCGTTTGCGACTGCTTGGCGCCAACCACCGAGCCCGCGCAGTCGTTGCCACTCGTTAAAGGCAAACAGGTTCGGGTTCTGTTCCGGTGGTGTGTTGGCGAATTTGCATCCCTGCGTCTGGTGGTTTCCGTACATGCAGTACTGACACATCTGCACTCCATTCGCCACCCATCCATCAATCAGCTGGAACTTAAACTCTGTCCGTGACCCTTGTTGACCTTGTTGATTCCGGAAGTAACCTTGACCTTGATTCTGGTTTGGAAGTTCCTTGACCTCCATTCCAATTTCCGTTTCCATAACCATTTCCGCCAAAGTTTCCATTGCCCACTCCTTGTTGTGGTAACCCCACGTTCAAGGGGCCGCGTTCTGTGGTACTGGCGGAGCCACATTCTGGGGTGCCGGTCTCACTTGAGCCGCCGCTTGTATTGCTGCTACCATTGCGTACGTTATCGGTTGTCCCGTCTGACCGTCAATAAAGGTCACTCTTTCGGTGATCTCTGACAGGGTTTTCCGCACGATATTCCATTTGCTGCTGGACTGGTGCAGCTGCCATTCGCTGTTGCGGTACATTTTCCACTTGGCCTTGGCGGATGGTCACGTATTCCTGATTACGTTGACCTTTAGGCGCTTTATATTTTTCCTCTCCCGCCGACCAATGTCGGAAAAAATCCTTGATTTCGGTTGGTGTTCTGCACTGTTGCGTTCGCAGTGCCTTATAAAGGTCACTGTCTATTCTGCATCCTTCAATCAGGAAACCGACTGCTTGTTTCTCAGTGATAATCCGCTTCGCTTTATATTTCATTATCGCCTGGTAAAACTGGTCAAGTGTTTCTTTTCCTAGGTCGAATTTCCTTGCCATGGCTTCCCGTAAGCCAAGAACTTCTTCGTCGCGGTCACCATATTCATCCTTGAATTTGGTCATCCATTCTGTAACCGTATATTCGATCTCTTCCTGGAGTGCGATTTCTCTCTCTCCTTCGAACCAGGTTTTTGCCGGTCCCTTCACCGCACTAGCTATTTCGATTAAAATTTGATCATCCGTAAGTCGGTAGGTTCGCTGTGTATCTCGGACCAATTGTGTCCAGCCATTTACCGCATCGCGACTTCCGTCAAAGGTCACTAATGTCGTTTTCCTAGCCATCGAATTTAGCGCCTTTGTCAATTGCGCCGCTGTCGATTCCGCTGTCGGGTCATCCTCCTCTTCGCTATTTTCATCGTCATTTTGTTTTGGTTTCGCCTTTCCGTAACGGGACTTCCGTTGGCGCTCTTGACGGCTGGAGGGTCTGTCCCGTCGGCCTTTGTCGATATACACGTTCGTTTCGATATGCGAGGGGTCGACGTGACTCGTGTGTGGATAGCCTCCTGATGGTGGCTCTTTGTCATCTTTGACCTTTTCACCATCTTGTTCTGCTTTAACATTTCCTCTGCCGGTGCCAGTTCGTAATGGCATTTCAAAATGGAAGCTTTTGCCCGTGCCCGTTTCGTGCGCCTTGCTGTAACTGGGCGGGGGCGACTCCACTGTTACTGTTCTGACTCCATATTGCAACAGCTGTTCGTCCTTGTGTTTGTTCGACATGTTAAGGGCCTTATTCTCTTCTTCAAGGCGTTTGACTTTCAGCTGGAATTCTTCCTTCTCAGTTTTCAAATCCTGATTCTCCTCCTTGACCTTCAACATGTGCTGGTGGAGTTGGAACGTTTTCTCCTGAATGACCTTTTCAGTGTCATTCTCCACTTTTTTTATGTGTTCCACCAACTGGGTCACATCTCTTTCCAGTTTCGTATATTCTTCGGCTGCTGCCTTCAACTGATTCTTCGTCTGGGTGAGCTCATCCTCCCCTGTCATTACCGTTTGGGTCATGTCAATCAACTCCGTGTTGAGTTTGCTGATCTCCTGTGTCTTCTGATGGACGGTTTGTTGCCATTCCTTATCTTTCAATTCGAGCGCGGTGACCTTTGTGTCTAAGAGATGTGCCTCGTGCTCCCACCTCAAGCCTTGTTCGGCAAGTGTCTTGGCGGTTGCTTTCAGTTCTTTATTCTCTTCAGTGACCTTTCCGTTATCTTCCTTCAACTCTTTGTTCTCTTCCGTCACCTGCTTTATCTCATTTTTCAGCCTCACGCCTTCGGTGGCTGTAAGGTCCCTCAGGTCTTTAGCCGCTTGGACGGCTTCATCAGCTCTTCTCTGATGACCTTTCGATTCTCGTTGGAGTATTCCAATATTCTCGTCCCGTTGCTTCAGATCGTTTCTGAGCTTGAATACTTCAGTAGTATTTGTCAACAATCGTTGAGTGGCTTCGGCGAGTTTGGTCGCGTACTCGTCTCTTTTTGCTTCAGCTTCAGTGACCTCTTGTTTCAGTAAGTCGCACTCGTCTTTCAATTCGGCTAAGTGCCGTGACCTTTCCGCTGATTCCTCCGACATACTCTCGTTAAGGTCATTGACTGCAAGATGACCTTCCATTTCTCTGTCATCTGCCATTTTCAAATATTCATCTGCCAATTCCTTCTGTCTTTCGTATTTGACTTTCCAGCCGTCTGCGGCACTTTGAAGGTCGCCCTGTTGCTGCTCCAGGTCGAAGAGGCGGTTCTCAAGTGTCGTCAGCCTTTCTCGATATTCCTGTTTCCGCTTGTCCGCCTGACGTTCGTTTACTTCGAGTTCGTTTTCCAATTCACTAACGCGTCTCCTCAAAGTTGTCGTGGGACTGTTCGGTGACGGTGGACGTACGTTGATGACCTTTCCTGTTTGCGCCCGTTCGATAAGATGCCCCGGTATCTCTTTGAACGGTGTCATCTCTTCAGCCCGGTCGGCTTGTCGCATTGCAGTTTGGAACGACATATTCATCGTCGTCTCATCATCCGTGAAATATGATTCGTTCGATTCATCTGAGACCATTGGAGTTGCCCAAAGGTCATCGTTTGCAGTCTTATCGTTCAGTGAAAGGTCATCCAATCCTAGTTCAGCCAATTCCTCTTCGGTGACCTTTGTCTGTCCAACATCCCTTTGAGCCAGGTTCACGTTCTTATCCTGCTCGTCAGTTCCGACAGTGGTAGCATCCAGCTGTGATGCCCCCACTGCTTCCGCTTCCTTTCCTGTGGTTCCATCCTCACCAGTGACCTTTTTCTGGTTCATCGGTTGTCCTCCCGCCGCAGACGCGGGAGTGTGCTTCTGGTCATCGCTGGAGCTCTCCTGATTAGTGACCGACTCGAGCGCCTTCTGATAAGTACTATCAGAGCCTCGTGAATCCTTCCTCTCGAATGCCTTGGGCGCTCGAGTATTCCGCTCATGTCCGACTGGACGTGAGTACGTGTGCAAATCTTTCTTGTACGGGTTTGGTGCACCTTGCTGTGAGCTGCGGGAGCTTTTGCTTCCCTGACTGCTGTTCGATGTCGGTTCCTCTTTGTCTTTGTCCATGTTGATCGGATAACTTGGACGCTCCTGTCAATTGTTCTCACACACGCGTTATTGTATGGTTTATTCAATTGTCCTAAAGGTGACTTTGTACTTTTCGAAATTTTTCTAAGTCCTTGCTAAAGGTCACTTTTTCGATAAAAACTTCGAGAGGTTTGCCCTAAAGGTCACTCTTTAGACAAAACTTCGAAACCGTTTTACAATTCAAAACACGTTTACGAATGAAATCCTACAGCTGCTGATATCGCTGTACTACTATTCACTTCAATTTCACTTCAATAAAGGTCACCGTTTGTCGCTTTCAGATCCTAAAGGTCACTTAAATAGGTCAATTTGGTCAATTCCAACTTTTTATTAAAGGTCACTTTCCAAACTCAAAGGTCAACTTCTGGTCATAAAGGTCACTTTCATACTCGTCTTAACTCAAAAGGTCACTTCTCAACTCGTTTTAAGTTAAAAGGTCACTTTCCAGCTCAATTCAATCAAAGGTCACTTTTCCTCTGTTTCAACTCAAAAGGTCACTTCTCAACTCAATTCAAGTTTAAAGGTCACTTTCCCGCCCAATTATCTCATCTCAAATCAATTTTCCCGTTACGACCCGAGTTCAGAGGAAAATCCCCATTCGGGTTGTTTACTTCGTTCCTATTGGTCAGCTAGCTCAAATTATTCGATTCAATTTTCGGCCAATCATAGTTCAAATAACCGACCAATCGCGCTTCTCCGTTTAAAATTTATATTAGCCTGACGTCACGGTCGACGGCCAGACATGCGCGCCGCGTGCAAAACTCCGCCTATTTTTATGCTCAGCTCAGTACGGACCAATGAAAATTACCAATTTTACCGTCTAACCAATGCCGTAATTAATAACGGTTTTCTACCTGTTGACCGTCCGTTCCACGGGAAAGATGATCCAGATGATCCAGTTCTTCTCCAACTCCGTTCCCGCGTCGCCGCTGTTCCGTAGCGTGCCTCGCGCTATTAATCTAATACTGTGCCGGCTGTGCCGTAGCAACAGTAGTGCTCTACAACCAGTTTGGAGGAGTCTGATCTGTCTTTTCCCCGTGCGCCCCTTTCGGCGCTTCGCCTCTTGTGGCCCACGGCTTAGGCTTCGCTGAAGCCTTGCCGAGTATCAGTGACACCAGTGTAGGTCTTCGCTGAAGACTCTACACCGAGGAACACTGACGACTGAACTCTTGAACTCTTTCACAGCTGAGGAAATAGCACAGGTCTTCGCTGAAGACACTGTACCGAAAGCCAAAGCTGGTAATCCGCGTCAGATGAGGAACTTGCACCGCTTGTGGTGTGCACTTTGCTGTAGAACAGACCTGCGCCTTGCTGGTCGCGGGTAACACGTTGAATAACAGGCCAAATATGCCTGACAAATCAAATCAAATCAATCAGAGAACCGCTGTCGGCTCTGCTACCATCTAATGCTAGATCCAACTGTGATCCAGATACGGAGACAGAAACGGAATCTATCCCGTGGAGTGAGCTATGCGATATGTATAGCGAACTACGCGGAATCGCGAAACGTCGCACCGCTAATAGCTGACTTTTAATAATATTGAAAGTCTGGAGACCAGAAATCAACAAGTGATCGGCACAGCTCGATCGTAAATCGTAGAACCAATTCAACAGTGTGTAACACTGTGCAGCACGTGCTAAGCCGCGCCCACTAACACAACTCAAGCTAGCCAATCAGAGCGAGACACGTCACAGACCGTAATCCGAAGGCGTAGCGCCTAGCGCCACGGGCGTGAACGCTAGTGAGCCTCGTCTCACATCACAATGACTGTGCCAACAGGATCTGCTTGCTCTGGAAATCGACCACGCGCCTCGTTATTTGCACATATTCTGTGTGAAGAAGCATAGTGAAACTAACAGCTCGCACTGCTACTTCAACATCTGAAGCATGATTTAATTAGTTTTTAGCGGGCCGAGTAAACTGCTTCAATAAAATTGTCAGTCAATTTCCAAATACCATGATTGGAACATCACGTTATTATCGCCAGCTGTACTCGGGCGCGCGGGAGGTCAACTACGGGAACACGGTGCTGGTGCAGCGCGACAACGACCAGTGGTGGCTGGGATACGTTCAGGATAGTGACGGCGACAAGTTCTTTGTAGATTTCGACTCAACCACTGCCCTTGCCGAGTGGATCCATTCCAGCCAGATCTGGCCGCATTCTTTCTTAAGCTGCAACCCGTCAGGTCATGACTCCTCGCTGCGGATGGCCGTGCGGCTCGCGGACGGCGGACCAATGGTACTTCGGCCGGCCACCATCATTGATACTTTGGGCATGTTCTGCATAGTTCGCCTGGATGACCGTGGGCCAACCCGGATTGTGCATATCCGTCAAGGAGCGCAGCCGTTGCCGGACGGAGAGCCCAGTATGTTCGGCCGAATGGACGGCCTTGTATTTCGGAAGCACGTCATTGATTTCCACCAGGCCCATCTGCTGCGCGATGTGGTGAGTCTGCCCAGGTTCGTGGTACGGACATGCCGGTTAACGCTGGGTCCTCGTGATCGTGTGTGTGATGCCAGCGGTGAATTTAAGCGAATTGCTGGATGGAACCACTTTATTTTCACTTGCGCCGGGAGGCACCGGCCAATGGACACCTGAGTATGAAATACCTCTTGCTTGTCGTGTCTTTGTGCGAGTGGGCATCAACAGGGTCACGTTGGTTTGCGCCGAAATGCACGGTGACGCAGAGGGGCGCAGCATGTTCTGGAACGAGGAGGCCCTGAAAGAAGCCTGCCAGGCTTATCTCCGCGAGCAACAATCGCTGGAAGTGTACAGCATGAGCATTATTAACTGCACGAATCGCACGCGCCATTTGGATCCACCGGGTAGCGCTGGTAAGTCACAGAAGGCTCCAGATTAGTTTGCTGCTTATCCGTTGCGGCGCTCTGGACATTAAACGGCTGGAATACACCACACCGGGCAGTGTGAATTCATGTGTCTTCACAAATGCTGCTCCCGCTGCCCGTGTGTTGCTTTCCCCTTGTTCACACTCTGCCGCCTCACTTCTGAGGGTGACTACTGCAGTCTGTAACCTTATACTGAGAGCGGACGGCGTGGCTATTATTGCAGGCGTCCATTTCGATGACTGGTGCATCAACGACCTTTCGTATCCGGTCCTGGCGGGTGTTCTTCTTAGTTTAGACATTATTACTCAGCTACGAATTAAGCGGTACGTCAGACGGCACTTATTCCAGTGCATATGTGTGCTGTTCAGCTTTAAGTGCTGTATTAAACGCGATATGAAATGGCACCTTTTATGCACCGGCAATTCGCGACATAATGTCGACCGTCAAGAGGGCGACGGTTAAGAAACTTAGGTGACTTAAAAAACTGAGAAACCTGAATCTACAAAACTAAGAAACCTAAGAAAACTGAGATGGTTTAGCCAAACGTTAGTTCGACGTCGTGATGGGGCAACATTGTGTCTGTTCGATGAAGTGATGATCGACGAATTTCGCGGACGAAATGGCCAACTTGCTGACGACTTTTGCTGGCCGACATAATGTTTACCCGACCGTTGTGTCGGCAAGCAAAAGTCGTTGTGCGAGTAGTTTGCTCTGCAGTCTGCACCCACATTTTGGTACTAACATAGGCCCCTTAGCATTGTAGTCTAGAGACTGCACGGACGAAATCACTTCCTCCGACATTATTTTTTCATTTTTTTATTGTGTTAACTCGTCCATTGTCCGGATGCGAGCAACATGTCGGTCAGCAAAGCAAAACGAAGATCAGGGAACTTTCGCGCTACCCAAAAAAAACGCCTCTAAATTTCGCAACGATGAAGTACTTATATACCAGAAGCGTATGTACTGTATTACCGTCTACTGATATTACATACATTCTACAGCATATTCCGGGTGTCTGGCAGATTATCCATAACAGAAGACAAAAGCTGTATAATATTCACTATTTGTTGACCTTTCTCAGCGTAACTCCGCTCTGGAGCCTCTTGCTGCGGGACTACACAGCCCACCAGCATATTATCGTACAATCCCTGCACTGATTGCCAGCAGCACCAGGAAATCCCGAAATGTAGAAGTAGAAGACTGCGAACTGGAATACAGATTCGTCAAGATTCTGGACCGAACGGTCTCCGCGACGACCCGAACCCTGGGCTTTATGGACAACGGTCCGATATCCACTGATGAGCGTCGTATCTTACTTCCCTGGAAAGTGAGCATACTTTCAAAGATATTCCCGACTAAAGGCCTACGCTTGCGCAGAGTCATCTCCAAGAACGGTAGCGATATAGGGCAGACTGCGGCATTCACCCTATTGCGTCTCGGCGGACATTTTCAGTTTACCACACTAGACTGTTATGCGTTGTCACAGTTGATGACGGTGTGTGACGAACTTTTGTTGATCAATTACACCACCTCCGATCCGGCTCTTATCCGACCACTGGTGACCAATATGTTTAGTTGGAGCGCTTCAGCGTGGCCTGGAAATAAAACGACGCGCAGGGATTCGGTGGATGCTCAGCCGAACGTGACCATTCCGTTTCTACGCTTTCAGTGCACGGAGGCCGCTGCTGTACAGTGCCGACGCTTTCTGGCCGCCGTCAATGACCACTGTCTGCCCGTTGACCAAGAGGTCTATGCAAAGGTCGCGGCGCTGCATGAGCGCTGGGGGCGGACGTTGGCCTATCCGGATCAATGGATCGGCATCCGCAGTTTCCTTAAACTGTAAGTGCCCGGCCGGCTAGTGTCTAGGAAATTTTAGGGTACAGCGTATGCGAAATAAGAATTAGGACCATATTCCGCAATACGAACAGATTCAATTAAAAAGCGGAACCATGCAATTATGCCTTCACAAATGTAGCTGTACAGAAGGTTATTCAGCCAAGTGTGTTCACTTTTTGAAAAATTTATATTTAGCCACCACAAAATCACATTGCTTTTCCAAATGTTTTATCAGATAGCCACAACATTCAGTCATAGTAAAAATATGATTAAGTTTAGATTTAATTATCCTTTGACACAAGAAAAAATTAAATGCCTGACAGACTTGTTGCCAACAGTCGACCAGTTCAGGTACAGCAACTGCCCTGTCTTTGAATAAAAATTTTTTTAAAATTTGGGTTCACAAACTATTCCATCGAAAACGTGTCAGGAGTATTCAACAATCATTTTTCTTATGGATCGACTAGTTTTTTTCACGATTGGGAAGCAGCCCCGGCTGGGTGGGCACTGCGTCCCGGGAGCACCATCCTGGTTCAGGATGAAGGTGAACACAAAAAATTGATCTGAAAGTGAACACACTTGGCTGAATAACCCTCTGTACGCTTTGTCAGAGTCTCAGTGCGACCGGAAACTAAATATAACTAAATAGTTTTACTCTGGCACTGGCTTTCGCAGGTTTTGTTCTTTTGGCGTGGATGACAGCGTCCAGCACTGGGATACCGCGGACTTACGAGAACTCGACGTGTCATCCCTAAATCGCTTGACCCTGCACATCCTCACCGGATGGCATGAAAGTTAGAGCCATCACCCAATGCCGACTCTACAACGTTAGCCCACGGAAGCATAGAATTTGTTCAACGTTTAAATCTTTATTAATCGTGAAATAGTGAGTATAAAAGGTTTTGACGTTATATACGTCGTCTTGACTGCTTCGACAGTACGGTACTTGTGGATAGATTCATACTATGACGTGTGCTCTCTGCTCTTACAAATTGCATGGCTCAAAATTTTCTCGCGCTGTACATATAAGTACCAATAAATCTGGAATCCAATCAGCCATAAGATTGAAACGCACGCGATCTACGCTTGGCACCTGCTGTGGACTGCCTCCACAAGATGTCTGATACCCAGACAAAGAATTTCTCTGTGTGGAGACTGGGCGGGAAAGGTATTCTGACAACACTTCTATCTAAGATTTTATTGTATGCCCGTCAGGATGATCGACTGAACCAGGGTTTTGCGATATCATTAAATTGCAAGAGCAAAAAAAGCTATCGATCGGGTATTTATTGGCCGGTATCGATTAGTTCGGATCAACAATAAAATTAATATGTATGGAAAATGCAAAAGCAAAAATGTATCGAACTAGCGATTTGCGGGGAGGAAACACCGGTGTGATCGGAAGCACTGAATGGAAACAGACTAAACGGAATCCTTCTCGTGTTTACTGGTGTTTCCTTGCAGTGCTGGAGATGCGTAGATTCCGGTTTGGCTGAATTAACTGGCCTTAAATTATCATCAAAGCCTTCGGCTAGAAACGTGACTGGCGTAAAGAACGGTTTTCTGTACGGTGTTTTCTGTTCTTTTTTTACCGGCGTTAGCCTTTCTCCAAGAATCATTTTCATGTTAAATGAAGAGTAAAGTTGCATTACTCTGCGGTATCATGAAGTGCGACACGAAAAGTAATTAATAACGTCTAGCAGTACTATAAGTGCTTAAAAATGCCAGGAAATGACCTAGAGGAACTGACTCATATAAGAAGCATTCGCTTGCAACAGGTAGCCGAACCCTAAATGCTGCTGTTAATTTTCTGTAGCTGCTTGTTAAATATCATTGGGGTGCATGAAATCTGCAGTTTTCTACTTGTGCGTTTTGTATTCTCCATGATGAACCGTCCATGGTGGTTGATTATCATTTTGATTCATCATTGCTATCGTGTAGCGGCAGACGGTAAGTCTCAAATTCAGTTAACTCGCCTCGTTAGTTATTATAACTCGCCTTCAAGCAAACACGTACATTACGTTTAATTGCTGTATAAGATAATTTAGATGGCGGTGACTACAATAATTTGGATTTGGTGCCGGTGCCCTTCCCGATTTTCTCCGCCGAACCCATGGCACAAGAACAGTGCCGCTTGCAGTTCACCGATAACTGCCAATCATGGGCAACCACGGTCGAAAACTGTCCAACAAGTCCGATACTGCAAATCAACTGCAACAGCAGCGCCACCTCTCACGAAATCCAGCAAATGGCGATCGGTTTTGCCAAGCCTCCACTGCGCGCCGTGTGGGTAACGATCAATGACAGTGATCACGTGGCGTTTGACACTTTCGCTCCGGTGCGACAGCAAATTGTCGGGTTCTCGCTGTACAACTGTACGTCAATTCGCGCGACCGGCAAAATATCCTCATTCCGCTTATCCAACGTCCTGGATCTGTACGTCGAGAGTTGCTACAATCTCAAAATCCGGCGGGGGGACTTTTGGCATTCGCTGAAAGTGCGGCAAATTACTTTCGCCAAATCGACCATTCAGTCCCTGGAAAAGCTGACCTTCACCGATCTTCCCGCTTTACGGTTATTGTCACTGGAAAACGGGTTCGCCCAGATGCCGGTGTTTAGTACGGAAATTCGCGCTTATTTAAAAGAGCTGCATTGTGGCGCGGTCTTTGAATGGTTTCGGGAATGGTGGGAAAACAAGCACCTGATGAAAAGCTTGCGTGCTACAGAGCTGTATCAGATCCACCCGTTTCCCGACGGCAACGATGCCAAGAATAAGAGCGACATTTATTTGCCTGTCGATTGCGCAGCAAAACCGTTTCCTACCGGAACGTCGTCCATCGATTTCAAACAAGAACGGTTCTCTGTCAACGATGACCTTTGTAAGTAAACTACTAATAAGCGCCGAACAACCAGTTGTACGGAGTGGGGACTGTCTAGAAAAACGAAAGGGCAGCATCATACGCTAGCATGTTAAATCTCTGACCTTTGTGTAGGTCCAGTCAGCTTACCGGCAAACAGCTGATTAGTACTACTTGCGGACCGACGCATTACTAAGCGACAATTTGGTTTTTCTGTTTTCCATAATTTTGCTGCCCGACTTGTTGCAGAAACTTTTGCTGATCGGCAGTAGTGTTTTTTCTTGAGATTTTTAAGAGCTTCTAAGATCCTTAGGTTTCCCAGATTATCTTGAATTTCTGAGGTTTTTGGTTCCTCAACTCTTTACAGTTGATCAGGGTGTCTTCGGGGTTTCTCAATGCGTTTTCTAAGGTTCTTAAGTTTTCTTAGGTTTAATCGTCGGTGTGTCGTATTATTCCAGCTAATGAGCAAACATTCATTTATTTTGTAAACGTGAAATTAAAAAATCCACGTGCCAGCGTGCTACGATGTGTTTTTTTAGATAAAGAAACCAGGCAGCCAGGCAATCCCGACAACAGTGATACGGACGACCGTTATCCCGAGTTCTCCGCCGAACCGTTGTCCGCGGAAGAGTGTGCCACGCAGGAGTTGTCCTCCAGCGAACGGCATAACTGTACAGCTGATTCGCGTTTAGCGTACGAAGTTTTGGAGCAGGGCGATGACAACAACAGCAGCGCGGTTGTAAACCGCATCCACCGTGCGGTGAACGCGATGACCCGATTACCGATTCGACCAGTTATCGTCGATCTGCAGGACCGCGCTCCGCTTGCCTTCACCGATATGGCACCGATTCGCAAGCGGATTGTCGTCTTCTGGTTAAGCGAATGCGTTAACGAAAGGGTCACGCGCAAACTGCACGACCTATACTGGACCAACCTCATGGAGTTTGTGACCTTTAACTGCTCCGATCTGGTTATTATGAAAAACGATTTCGCAAATTCTTTGAAATTGCGGCAGATTATGTTTGTGAACACGACTATCCGGACGTTGGAGGAGAACACCTTCGCGAATTTACCATCACTGGTAGCGCTATCACTGCAGCATAGGCTGAAAAATTTGCGATCGTACGACGAGGAAATGGCCGATCCTCGTGCACCGGTTATGTTTACGCAACGCATCCTCGACTATCTTTTTCGCCTGCACTGCGGCTGTGAGTTCGCTTGGTTTCGACGGTGGTGGAGTAACAATACAGCGCGACTCACTACACCAATAGCAGACGACGGCGGAGTGTACCACATTTTCGGTGGTATTTTTAGCTTCACCAAGTACGCACGAGATCACATCTCTATCGACTGCGCGAAACCGATTCCATTAGGAGCGGAATTTATTGCTAATCAAAGTGAATTTTCCATAAACGCTTTAGAATGCTAACGGATGCTACTGTTATTCGAAATCGCCTAATACTCGAAGTCTCGAATGCTACTTCGAAGTAAGTACTATTAATTTGGTGTAAGGAGAACCACACTTGCGATTTTTTTGCAATTGTGATTGCGATTGTGATTCAAAAAAGTTATGTTATAAGGCGTAGATGCGAATACCAGTCGAGCATTTGAGAGCATTTTTGTACGGTATGAGCTGTTCTCCGAACGGTGTTAGTTACAGTGTTTGGTTAAAAGAACACGGCAAAAATCGACAGTGCCGACGCTTTCCAGCCACTGTTCAGCTACAATAGTCCGGTCGACCATTAGACCTACAACGGTTCAAGCGAAATTACTGTCTAAGAGTCCAAATTCAAGAGAAAGATGTTCATCCATAAAAACGCTCGTTTCTGGAAACTTTTGCTTGGTTTGAATATTATGATAGGCGGGTGATCGAAATATGAAAACGTCAGCCCACCGCGCCATCTGGTGGCCATGGAGGATAGGCGCAACGGTTTTTGCTGGGTTTAAGGTCAACATCGTTAAAAGACAACCTTCCGGGTTGCAGTAAAGTGAATGTCAATGTCCTGCGAACCCGAATTCTAACATATTGAACATTACGTAAGCTAACTGCATCACGCGCGCCGGACAGTAGTAATGTTTAACAAAAAATTCTGGTTCAAGAACAGTGTACAATATTCTGTATTCATCATTATTGTAGTCTTATACAGTAATCACTGGTCAAGACAATATCGTGACTCATTCGTGAGTAACAACCTCCCCTTACGGCGCGCCGCCCTCGCGCGCATCTTTTTTATCGCTACCTATGACGATTCGCTTTAGTGCTTGTAACATCCGTCCAACAAGTGAAGCACAAACCAACTCAGCGTAGATACGTCGAGTTCTCGCAAGTCCACCCCATCCCACCACGCTGCAGTGTGCTCCGGACGGAACGCGCTGAACCTACCAAACCGAGTAAACATGCACTGTAATCGAGGCCTGCTTCAACATGTTCAATAACCGAGGCTTTTTAACTGTACAGTTTCGTTCGATTAACCGATTCGCTATCTATATGTACACTGCGATTTCGGTCACTTTGGGTACTTCTATACCTTACTAAAGTGGCCACCGAAAACCAGTGATGTAGCACACTACCGATTGTGTACACTTTTTCATCTGCTCTCGAGTTTTCAGTTTGGTTTTTCAAGAAAATCTGATGGTGACCTCTATGATTAATTTTCCGATTCGAAATTTCATGAATTAAGCATTTATTACATAATAAAAACGATTCTTACCCAAAGTTCTAAAACTCTCTTTAGTCTAAAAATTTTCGGAAAAATACATGACAAAGGTAGTCGCTTCGATAGCGCATTTACGCTGTTGAGCTACTTTGGACGGTACGACTGTTGTGCAAATCCGAACATGCAAAGCGGATGTAAAAAAGCATGCCGGGGAACCATGGGAGTATTTAAATTACAGTATATGAATGCGATACCCAAGCGACTTCTTCCCTCCTTCTACGCATAAGTGGCCGAAATACGACTAAAATCGGAATATGCAGACACACGCTGCGCAGTCGTCGTGTAGCGCGCTACATGGGGTCGCGGTGCGCTGTCAGGTTAATCAAAAAGGTTGGGTACTAAGCAAAATCAACGTGTATCCTGTGATCCATAACTGAAATGCCCCGTTACCCACAGTTTAAAAAAGCGGCGCATGTTAATCCATTCATTTGGATACGTGAAGCTCTCCACCCAGCCCGCATGAATAGCCGTGACCTTGTCGTAGACAGGCTGCGGAACTGCTGGACAGTACTCGTTAACGGCGGTCAGAAAGCGCCGGCACTGTTCCACGGCGTTGTCTGTCGAGCAGAACTGCAGATACGGAATGCACACGGGTAACTGCACCGCGTCCACATTCCGGTGATACGTCATCGCGTGGCACCATAGCGCTTCGGCACCGTAGAACAACGCCACCACGAGTGGCGTGAGGTAGTTGATGCTGGGATGCGACGCGTTATAGTTAAACAGCACCAGCTCGTCACACACGGTCCACAATTTGCTCAGTGTGGTGCAATGGTAGCTGCCATCCTGATTATGCTGCCTTAGACCGAAAAACGCCCGGTCCGACGTACTATAGTGATCGCCGCCGGCTTTGACGATTATCTTGTGGAGATGAATGCCCTTGCATTCCAGTATCTTAACCATAAACAGCAATGTCGACGACATGCATCGTGCTGACCAGTCAGAACTCCGTCCCGCCTCCAACAACACCACCGTCCGCGTCTCCCGGCTGATTGTGCGGTCCAGCATCGTTAGCAACGTGTACTCACATTTCCAGTATTTCATATCAACTTCGCGGCTCCACGGCTCGACAGGACGCAACGGGCGCAGATCAAGGCCAATGTGCTGTTTGTTGACGTACTCACCCACAAGACGAGCCCATAGCGTGCACACCCTAAGTTGCAGCAAGAAAAAGGTCAACAAAGTGTGCGACGGCTTAATCACTGAAATTCTGGTCTTTTATCAGTTTTGACAGAACCATTTGGAGTGCTGTAGCTTGTTTCGTAATAACTATTCGTAATTAGTTAAGAAAATCTTGCGACTACTTTACCGGCTCGTTCGTAGCTGAGTGACGACATCCAAATTAAGCAAAATGTCCGCTACGATCGGATGCGGAAGGGTCTCTCATGCGCATTTCCATGTCCTCTGCAGAAATATTTTTCAATGTCATGCTGTGTTATATTTCACAATATGCACATATTAAAGCGGATGAATGTTGTCCAAGCGGTTCGCCCTGCAATGGCTATGTCTTCTGACCAGCTTACCATGAACGTCGCATGACTAAGCACATCGGAAGCTCCCCATTTTATTTCTAATCTCATTTTAGTTATCGTACTTCCGTTCATACGGGACGTTCTAATAAATTCGGCCTGCGATCTGGCTGCAACATGAACTGGTGTTTCTTGTTTATGCTAATCGAATAATGAATGATTCGAATTTATGATTCGAATTCATAGCTACTTCGTAACCTTGCATCCTTTTCCAACCTGAACAGTCGTTTGCTTCCTGGAAGCGCTGAATAAGCAGTTCCAGTTGAGATGCTTTAAGAGCATCGTTTTAATATACCGCCATGCCGTCTTTAAGGAGATGAAACACAATTACGCGCCTTCCCCTGCCGGAGGAAGAAAACGGGAAAATGGTGCGCCGGAAGCTGGCGCTGTCGCGAGAAAATGGAACTAACGCGGGCATATTGGCGCACCGAAAACTCTAAGAGAGAAGTGTCGAAAAAATGCATTTCAGAGCCACTTTCCTACGTCTTTCCTAAATTTTCGGCCATCTTGCAAATGGCGCGAGGTCGTGCGCACCCCCCTTCGAAAAGCTAAAGACGGGCCTACAGGATAACATACGGGGACCGCTCATTGAAAATCAACCAAATGAAGAAAGTATCTTACTTAGCATGGGATAAGACCGTACACAACACACTCATTGCTATATCACGCATTATTTCAACGAAATACAAGTGCAGGGACATTACATAATTAAGTTTGACAACTGCCGATGCCCAAAACCATGAGTCTGTGCTGATAGAAACTAACTATAAAACTATTCAAAATTTCACCAATAGAAACCGTCATATGTCTGTTAGCATGCTTACCCTCCAACGACCCACCGGCACAGCCTTCCATAGTAAGGGCACTGACTTCTTTCGCTTGGTGTTCATAGAGATAATTTTGGCAGGCTTGTTTGAGAGCCTCTTCGTTCCAGAACATGCTGTGCCCGCCGGCGTTACCGTGCACTTCGGCACAGACGAAGGTGACCGTGTCGTCTCGCGCTCGTACAAACGCACGACAACCGATATTAAAGCGGTAATGCGCAGCCTGCTCGCTATGCTTCCCGGCACAGTAGAATACAAAGGTGTCCGTGTACCCAACGCCAACCGGCACGCGCGAGCCAGAAACTTGCTCATCAAATTCACTCCCGCAACCGGTGCGCTGCCGCAAAACGGAGAATGTGTTTCCTGTAAGTTAGACCGTTGGTGCTCGCGAAAAAACTTGGTTCGTCGTCGGATGCGGGTAATTTTTCGACGAACTGCGACGCATGCACGACACAACGTCCCGTCGTATTGGCTAGATCCTGATAGTACGGACTGACCATGTAGAATGAACCGGTCAAATGGCTGATATCGGTGGCCGGTCGGAAAACCAGTGGTCCTCCAACCGGAACCCGCACCGCCACCTGCAGAGCTGAGTCACTATGTTTCGCAATTTTCCCGCCGAGCAAATGGTGCGGCCAGAGGCGGCTCGAGTGAATCCATACGGGTCGGGCGGTGATCGAGTCGAAGTCGACGTAGAACAGATCGTCGTCGATATCCTGAACTTAACCCAGCCACCACTTCCCGTTGTCGCACTGCACCAGCACCGTGTTCCCGTAGTTCAACTCACGCGCACCAGTGTACAACTCCCGAAAGTAGCGGGCTGTGGAACTGGAATTCATGGTCATTGCTGGTTTCGATTATCGGGTTAAGCGCACATCTATCAGTTTTTTCGGGTACGAAACGGATCGCAGGAGGGAAAAGATCTAATGTGAACCGTTTTCTAATGAAGGCAGAGCCAGAGCCTACAAATGTCAACGCTGGAGCGCAAACCAGGCGGCAACCCAGGCGGCTTAGCAGCTAGCAGCACGATGTGAGCGAGCAAATTAGCAGTACTAGTGAGTCAAAGGGAACGATGAAAATGTGGAAAGAGTAGAAGGACACAGTATTCATGGGATAATCAAAAGCCGGCCCCAGTATTACACATCTGTATGACCATCATCAAAGTCTGCTTATTTAGGCCGGAAAATATATTGACTGAATTGTTTTACAGTTGAACTTATTGCCTCGTTACTGCTGTTTTGAAGTGTTACGACCACGGAGATTTATGGCCGTGGACAGCGGCTGTCGTGATTATCAATGTGCATGGTCTGCATCCTCGTTAGTACGAGTATTAATTATGACCATATGTGTGTGAAGATATTTATGTCTTATCGTATTGTTCCTTATCTGTGTAGGATCGCTGACTGCTGGTCAAGTGGGAATAATGAGAAGGCAGGAAGAATGTGGCCTGCAGATATGGCTAATGTGAAATGTAGTGATGGGATTGGTGCGTGTGTGTATATAGCTTTGTGGCTGTATGCGAATATGAGCGTGTTA